AAGCTGTGTATCATTAAACGGAAACTCATCCTTCCCGATTCACTGTTTTATTTTCAGCCGCCATCCTGTGTACGCATGATTACTTTTATTCCGGATGTATATGTACAGTTCCTTCCCTTTTGAATATATTTCAGCTTTATCCATTCGTGAACCACTCCCAGCTTTGATTTTTTCCCCGCACCGGCCAGCGCATGTCATGTAATCAGTTTATTTATTAGGAGCTTCAGACACACCGCAGATTGTTTCTATCTCTGTATTAATTCTCTTGGCTTTATACAACCCTGAATTTTATTTCGTCGCATCCTTGAATTTTTGTTTTATCCAAAACCTGTACCACCCGGATGGGCTTTTTGACTTCCCGGCCCCATCAAATAATCGTTACTTCTACACAAACCCTCCAATAGTCCCAAAATAGTTATTTAAGGGAGAAACGTGTAGTAGTATGGGAGAAACGTGAAGCACAGTTTGCAAAACTCTGGGCCCCTCTTCGCGAATGATCCGCGAACATAAGCTGAAATTCGCAAACGATGCCTAACGTTGAAACACACATAATGCCTACCCCCATGTTCGGACCATGAAAGAATTCACAAACGGAAACACCTTCACAAGTCACAAACATGATAATGCCCAGAATTGGAAGACTTGCCCAGAACTGGAAGATTTGGTATAAGTATTGCCGATATGTTAAAAGAGTAGGCCTGCCGTTAAAAATGCACAAAAATGACATGCTATTCTTTGGTAGTCGGCAAACTTTTGGTCATGAAACCCATGTTTTCACGACTCTCATGGGACTATTAAAGCACTTGCATAATGAAACTACAGAAAACGTGTTTGTGAACGAACACATAGCTGTTCCGAAAATATTTTTCAATATCTTTTGATACTGTCAATGAGTATCATAAATATGCAATTAATTGGATTAAAAAGAGAGCTTATCTGTCTGTTTGACAACAGAACAGAGGGCTTTTTGCATTCTTTTGTACATTTGAACAACTACGGCATCATTACATCAAGTCATTTTTTGTATATAATACCTCTCCTTCAAGTTATCTGCAAAGTTTCAACTTGATAGAACATGTATTTCAGGAGATATAGGGCCTTAAAGAGTGCACCTTTAATGTCACGTGGCTTGTCTCCTGATGACGTCATCATCACATGAGGTCAATATTCCTCTAAAGCACTTCCTTTTCAAGATATCTGCAAGATTTAAACCTGATAGGACATCTACTTCAGGAGATATACTCCTCTTATTTGCATAATCATAAATATGCATTGCCACTCTGAAAAAAATATTCCTTGATAATATTTAACATAACAATAATTGATTGCACATTTCAGATTTTCTGTGTATAAAATTTAAGAAAGAGAGTGCAGGACTACTATCGATGACATCTATTGCATGCTGGACATTTTAGCGCAAAAATGAATTTCACTTCTTGCAACTGTGACTAGAAAGTTGTACTGTATAATCCGAAACCACTCCCATGTACAGTGGCATAAGCCATGTGCCATCTGTAAGTTAAGGGTCTGGTGTGGTCATTCACTTCATCACCCATCGTGTTTGGGGTTCACAATTGAATACGTCGCCACGCAGATCTGGTGTCAGCCACATTGTGTTTGACATTTGACATTTCGATAATGTCGTTATGAAAAAAGCGATATATCGGCATTGGACAAAATACAATGTCCACCGTAACTACATCAGTATATGATTTGAAGAATACTTCGCCCCACCAAATTTAATTAAATTTTAAACATTCAAAATTTTATAATAAATCACTTGATGACGTCATCATGGCATCATGTTTCTAGGACCATCTGTGCATAGCTGTTAAGGGTTCTTCATTAGTATAAGTTTGATGAAGATCCAAAGTTGCAAAAGTACTAAAGTGGTGGGCCATTAGTTTTCCAGTTATTAGACTAAAAAGAAAAAATATTGATGATGTCATACCTGGAAAACAATAAAACGTATTTTAATAATATTGTAATACAATTATCTGTCCATGGACTTCTTAAGTACTGTAAATTATCAATCCGATTAGATATTATAAGTCACGAGATATCATTTTTGTTTTCAAATACAACTTCTGGTCAAACAGGAAGTAGCGGTCACATAAGGTCAAGATATCAATTTTCATCTATAACACGTCCCTGACTATGTGCATACCAAATTTGAGTTAAATCGGTCAAATAGTTTACTAGTTATTAGACTATACAGAATGAACTTTTGAATTGAGGTCATGTGACCCCTGATGACGACACGATTACATAAAGTTTCGCGGTACATCTTCTGATGATGCTTAATTACTATACCAAGTTTGAAATTAACCCTAACCCTCCTCAATCCTTCAGCTGTTGGAGGACTGAGGAGTGTTAGGGTTAATGGGACTTTCTGCCAAAGTGCCTTGTAGAATAAAACATGGAAATAGAAAAAAAAAAAAAAAAACGAGAGCTTCTATGTCTGTTTGCAACAGAACATAGGGTTTTTCTGCTTTTCAATAAAAATTCATCGTCATGATTGCATATCTGAAAAGTTTCATCCCACTGGGATATGTACTTTTGGAGATACAGGGCTTTAAAGATGCACTTTTAATGTCATGTGACTTGTCAACTGATGATGTCATCATTCCGTGAGGTCAATTTTCATCTATCTCACATCCCTTCCAGATATTTCCAAAGATTCAACCCGCTCGGACATGTACTTCAAGAGATATAGGGATTTAAATGATGGATCTTTAATGTCACGTGACTTGTTAACTGATGGGGTCATCATTCTATGAGGTCATTTTTCTTCTCTCACACATCTCCTTCCAGATATCTGCTAAGTTTAAACCCACTGGGACATGTGCTTCAGGAGATATAGGGCTTTAAATGATGGAACGTTAATGTCACGTGACTTGTCAACTGATAAAGTCATCATTCCATAAGGTCAGTTCTCCTCTATCACACATCCCCTTCCTGATATCTGCAAAGTTTCAACCTGCTGTTCCATGTACTTTAAGAGATATAGGGCTTTAAAGGATGCACCTTTAATGTCACCTGACTTGTCAACTGATGAAGTTATCACGCGATGACGTCAATTTTCATGTATCACACATTCCCTCCAGATATCTGCAAAGTTTCATCTCAATGGGATATTTGCTTCAGGAGATAAAGGGCCCTAAAGAGTGCATCCTTAATGTCACATGACTTGTCCCCTGATGATGTAATTATCACATGAGGTCAATATTCCTCTAAAGCACTCCCTTTTCAAAATATCTGCAAGATTTGAACCCGATCGGACATCTACTCCAGGAGATATAGGGCCTTAAAGAGTGCACCTTAAATGTCACGTGACTTGTCTCCTGATGACGTCATCATCACGAGGTCAAAATTCCTCCGAAGCATTCTCTTTTCAAGATATCTGCAAGATTTGAACCCAGTTGGACATGTGCATGTACTTCAGCAGATATAGGGCCTTAGAGTGCACCTTTAATGTTACTGGTATGTGACTTGTCTCCTGATGACGTCATTATCACAAGGCCAAAATTCCTCGAAAGCACTTCCTTTTCAAGATATCTGAAAAATTTGAACCAAATTGGATATACACTACAGGAGATATAGTGCTTTAAATGATGTACGTTTAATGTCACGTGACTCGTTTGCTGATGGCATTGTCATCACGTGAGGTCAATTTCCATTTGTAAACTTTCCCTTCCTAACTACCTCCAAGGTTTCAACCCAATCTGACGTACAATGTACAAAACAGAACATTAAAGTTATTGTGGAAAAGTCACAAATAAGACATTTTATAGATTTGTCCCTGTTGGCGTTCCATACAATGCGATCAGCTCTCAGCATTTTGCCAAGTCCTGAGTATATGCCCTACGCACTGTGCACCAACTATGTTGCAGGCAGATACTGGGTGTCTAGGCACGGAGTAGCCAATGCACAGTATGCAGATGGATATTTGAGTTGGCAGTTTATATTGTAAGGTGTTTTTTGTTGATGGCGCTTCATGTGTGTGAAAAAGTACACCAGTTATGCACTTCATGCAGCTGACTCCAATGTTTTAGCTGTCATCTCGTGAACAGTTCACGCTTATATCTCTTACGGTTCAATTTTTTAACCTAATTTGAAGAATAAAAGAAGTTTTTATTGTAACTTCCGGTCTGATGACGTCATCAGCCCCAAACTTTACACGCATTGTGACTGGGTAAAGATGGTCATCTACATCAATTTTCAGGCCATTCCGACCAACTTAGCCACAGACATCTATTCAAAATTCATTTTTCGGAATTTTTAACCTGTCGCTAGAGGGCGCTCGACAATTAGGCGACATCATCAGTAGATGATTTGAAGAATACTATACCCAAACTGACTAATACCGTTGAAAACAACTTGATACCTATTACCAATTTTAAACAAGACCACTTATTCAGCTCCACCTCCATTCAGGGCATACCACAGCCCAGCAGTCGCGGTCAAAATAATTCCGCCGTGAAGGGGTAAACATATCGGCAATACTAATACCAAATCTTCCAGTTCTGGGCAAATCTTCCAATTCAGGGCATTATCATGTTCATGACTTGTCATAGGTGAAATCTTTCACGGTGAGAACATGGAGGTAGGCATTATGTGTGTTTCAATGTTGGGCATCGCTTGCGAATTTCAGCTTATGTTCGTGCATCATACACGAAGAGGGGCCCGGAGTTTCACAAACTGTGCTTCGCGTTTCTCCCTTGTGGCGACCAAGTCTTTGTGAATCGACCTTCGAAGAAAGGACTTCCCAGACAAGTGTTACTTTTCAAATTGCACCCAATTCGCAAAGTATTCTTTGCAGTAAATCAATCCCAAAAAGGTCCTACATTTCTGAGAGGTATTGTAGTTATTAAAATATTCTTTCATGCTGACGTTCTCAGGGTCTTTGGATGCTTGCCAAGTGGTCAGTGACATACAGATAGAAAAATGTATGTACATGTATGTGTACATTATCTACATTAAAAACTTAATTTTCCTACCTTGTGCCTACATTTCAGCACAACTCCATAGGCCCCTGATAGAAAAAACAAAAGTAAATAAGAGGACCATGTTAATTGGTCTAGTAATTAACTTCTGCAGCACAAGTTTTTACAGTATTTAAAAATGCAAGATGGTGTATGTAGATGCTATATGTAGCAATCAACTGTTTATGAACACATAATTTTGTGTGCATGTAATAAAAATCTCTCTTCCAGCTGATTAGAAGAAATGACCACATACTCCATCCTCTTGTGTCTCTCTTACGCCGAGAGAACGAGATGTGAATAACTGGCTGCGTCACCTTACACTCATTAAGCTGGCAAGGAATAACTTCATTTTTTTCACCAAAACATTTTTACCCAATCTTAATTGCGGAAACAACATTGACATGCCAATGGAATAATATATGGGTATAGCAAATTTGAAATTTCTTGGACTCATTCTTTTAACAATGTCTGAAACAATCGTTAAAAATGTCTGCTTTCTGAGTTCTAATTCCCCGAGACTTTTGACTATCTCATCAGGCCTGAACTATTTTATTCAAAATTAACATTGAAAATTCTAGATATCCATTGCAAAAGTCTTCAAGATGTATAAGAAAAGCCAAAAAATTGTGACAATAATGCCAATGTGATTATTTGCTTTTAAATGCCCAGAATGCTTGACAAAAGTCTATTATAATGGAGACCTTATTTTTACTCCAAAAAAGGACATTTTTGCTGTTAAAATGTGTCTTTAGACACCTTTGGCCATGATGGAAGTGACATATGGGAACTCAGCAAGGGATATCCAAGGGCAGGGCGGCATCAGAAATAACAGTTAAAGAGACAGACGGTAATGACAGACATGATGAAAGACAATTTTCAAATTTCGGAAGAATAACATCTTTTATTAAACATTATCAAACCTTAAAGAACTTGCAGAGTTTTCACTTCTAATAATTAATTGATTTCCTGGGTAAATATTGCTGACTGTGAACTCACTGACATGCAAAATTCAAAATTTCTGATACCACGATGATAGTTAATAATAATAATTGAAAATTTATAATAAGTTACCCCCGGTACCGCAATAATATAGGAACCAACTATGCACGCATGATGTCTCCACTCACTTTAGTACTGCAAATTTTGCCCACTGCTTCCTCAAACTGGAAATTTACAGGGTGAATGTTCAACAGCTATCTGAACATGGGAAGTTGTTACAAAATAATAATAAAAGCCGTGTCTTAAAAGCATGTTACAACCACATACATGCAGCATTTTGCACAGAAATTTCAGTATTCAAGATCAGGACACCATTTTTGATTTCAATTCTAGGCTAAGTGACATCATGAACTGATTGGGTCCCCCCCCCGGAAAGTCGGGGCAGGGGGAACAATAAATAATTACAACATTAATAATTACAACATCTGTAATGCACTTTCCACAATGTTTCAAAGCGCCATTATTAGCCCTGCACACTGGACCCCACACATCTATGAACATTCCTGAAACCATCTCAGCTCCCTGGGGAGTGTACTAGCCCAGTACTGCCTTTTGGGCGCAAACAGCTAAACATATATGTGTCTGCCCTCACAAGTACCAATATACTCCTGAGTGGAAAGAGGCACACAGGAGTAAAGTGACTTGCCCAGGATCACAACAAGCTGCCACCAGCTGGATTCGAACCCCTGACCCTATCATCAGAAGCTACAAACCCTAACCACTAAGCCACATGCCTCCACAATAAAAAACGTAAGCACTGCCAAACAAAATCGCCTGCAAGTCTACAACAGCTAAGTGATACAGACGTAGCCTTGGGCAGGAAAGACATTATTTTAAGGCTTAAGTTGATAGACCCAGTTTAACC